GGAGGTGGAGGAGGAGGTTGGAACTTCTCGGGGCGCCCGCCGGGGCACCGCTCGCGGTGCGCGGCCTTCGCGCGCTGGCCTCGTGTCGCAGGAAGTTGTTCGACGCCTTCAAGCCTGGGGGCGAAGGGCAGGCCGCCCTTTGCCGCTTGCCAGCTGGGGGGGGGGGGGTGAGAGGTACGATGATGATGATGGTGATGACCTCGATGATGAGGAGGAGGAAGAGGAAGAGAAGGAGCATGATGATAACCATCTTGATTATGCTGATGATGGTGATGACGGTGACGCTGATGATGCTGATGATGCTGCTGATGATGACGGCGATTATGATGATTGGTGACGATGGATGATGGTGGTGGTGGTGGTGGCGGCAGTGATGATGCTGATGATGATGGTGCTGATTCTGATGATGGTGGCTGTGATGATGATGGTGGTGGTTGTGATGGTGATGATGATGACGATGATAAAGATATTGATGCGGATGAGGATGACGCTGCTGATGATGATGATGATGATGGCGGTGATGATGCTGATGATGATGATGCCGATTGTGATGGTGATGATGCTGATGATGCTGGTGATTATTATGGTAGTGAAGATGGTGGTGATGATGATGATGGTGATGATGCGGATGAGTATGTTGCTGTCGATGACGAAGACACGATGATGATGATTATGATGTTGATGATGATGGTGATTGTGCTGGTGATGTGGATGGTGATGGTAGCTATGATGATGATGCTGATGCCTGTGATGATTAGGTTGGTGATGGTGATGATGCTGATGATGCTGATGATGCTGGAGATGATGATGCTGATGATGATGAGTATGGTGATGATGCTGATGGTTATGATGTCGATGAGGACGACGATGGGGGTAATGGTGATGATGATGAGGATGATGATTGATAATCATGAAATTCTGCGGGTTAGGAAGATTAACGTGAGGAGGAGGACGAGGATGTGGATGAGGATGCGGATGATGATTCGGATGAGTATTGGTGATGGTGATGATGGTGGTGCTGATGATGACGACGATGCTGATGACAATGTCGGTGGGTATGATGGTGATGGTCATGGTGATGATGATGATGCTGCTGATGATGATCACGATTGTGTTACTGATGCTGATGATGATGCTGTTGGTGATGATGCTGATGATGCTGATGACGCTGATGATGCTGATGATGATGATACTGATGATGATGACGATGGTGATGGTGATGACGATGATGATGATGATGATGATGATGAATGCGGTGGTGGTGGTGGCGATGATGATGATGGTGATGATGATGACGATGGTGCTGATGATGCTGATGGTGATGATGGCGATGATGATGATGCTGATGATGCTGATGATGATGAAGCGGATGATGATTAAGCTGATGCTGGTGATGATGATAATGATGATGATGATGATGATGATGATGATGGAGATGATGCTAATGGCGGTGATGGTGATGATGATGATGATGCTGATGATGATGATGATGATGATGATGATGATGATGGTGATGATGATGATGATGATGATAGTGGTAGTGATAGTGATAGTGATAGTGATAGTGATAGTGATAGTGATAGTGATAGTGATGATGATGCTGATGAGGATGGTGCGTGTCGTGATGCGGATGACGAGTGTCATCGTGATCGTGGTAACGAGGAGGAGAAGGAGAAGGAGGAGGAGGAGAAGCAGGAACAGGGAGCTGAGGAGGAGCAGGATCATTACCCGGGGCACTAGGACTTTGCAGGGATGAAACTGTTGACCCTTTACAGATCTAACCAGTCCATCTACACGGTGCCTTGTCGAGCTGCCTTGATGAGAGTGTAGGAGCCAGCAGTGGAACACAGAGGGGGTGGCAGCCGTTCAGCAGAAGCTCGGGATCGGATCCAGGAGTCAGCAGATTCGTTGACCTTTCGGCACGGGAGCCTCTTGGCGGCTTAAAGTTGGGACATATCGGGGCCTCCTTGGGGGCAAATTTCGTTGTCTTTCGGTGCTCTTGGGGCCCTCTTGAGGCTCTCTTGGGGCCCTCTCGGGAGCCGTTTGGGCCCTCTTCTGGCCGTGGTGGGGATATTGAGCAAAGCAAGGGAGCGGACTGAATTACGCAATGCTCTGTCGGAGCCCGAAACGTCGCCTCTTGGGGTCCACTCGGGACGCTCTCGGGGCGCTCTTCAGCACTCCTGGGGCCATCTTGGTGCCATTCTTGATTCCTCTTAAGGCTCCCTTGGGCAATATAGGAATCATCTCGGGGCCTCGAAGCAATCAGAAATGAGAACTCGATAAGCCAACACACACATTTCCGAGTAGCGTTTCGCAGTGCGTAGGGCTGCAGCAGAGGTTTTGAAGACCCCCTCACACTCACTTTTCGGTGAACCCATATCAAGTCTCGCCCCCTGAAAGTCATACCCCCGTCCTCCATCCATCCGACTATTCTACCTCATCCTCCTCCTCCTCCTCGCTCCTCGTCGTCGTCGTCGTCCTCCTCCTCCTCCTCCTCCTAGTCCAGGTCATCACCCGGATCCTCGAGTCGCACCTCCACCGGTGGACAGTCGTGCGTTTGCGCAACCGCCCGGGAGCCCCCGCGGCATGTTGATCGATGAGGGAGTGGGGAGGAGCGATGCGCGAGGATGTGTACCGGGATGATGGAGAAGCGAGGAGCGAGGACGGAGGGAGGAGCGAGGAGCGAGGAGGAGGAGGAGGAGGAGGAGGAGGAGGAGGAGCAGTCTACACCCAAGAACCTTCCCTCGAAGTTCCCTCTTCACAGGTCCCTTAACAATTGTGATAATATACATTGCGGGAAGCGGCCCATCAGAAGACAAACCTCGGATATGTACAATCGTGCCCAGACAGCGCTCCTTGGACTTCATCGCCGTGGATCAACGTGACTTATGCGTCCTGGCAATCCTAAATCGTTCCAGGACGCCACTCCTGACACTCCAACGCAGCGAGTCCACTCGACTGTTGCCCTGACAATCCCAACTCGTGCCAGAACACCAATCCTAGGACTTCGACCATGCGAGTCCTTGGAACTGTTGCGTACGTGTAATACGAAAGTGCGCGGCGCCAAGCCGAGAGCCACAGTTTGAAACGGAACCGCCCTCCATCCGTGAAGCTGCTGCAAACTGTTCAGACGAGTGCGCAGGGCGCTAAGGCGAAATCCACAGTTTAGAAAGGAACCGCCCTCCATCTTTGAAACCGCTGCAGACTCTTGAGACGAATGCCACATGCAAGCCAAGACGGAGACCGACGATGCCTGACCGGACATACCTTGGTGGACCTCCATGGTTGCCTCTGGTACGCAGGGTCAGTGCAGTTGGGAAAGCGCCACGCGCCAGGCCCCGTCGCATGCCGACCGATGCTCTGTCCTGGACGCCACTGCTCCCATCAGAGTCGGCCTGACGCAGTTCACCGACGACAGCTGTTACAGGCGCAGCTCCAGAGGCGGCCTTGCGGCGAGCACCCTGCTCTAGAAGAGTGCCATCGCTGGCTTCCGCGGGGCACTGCGCCTAGGGCAGGGCAGGACAGAGTGCATGGCGCGTGGTATCACCAACACGCGGCCTCTTGGTGACACCCACTTCGTCCAGCAGCGCGTCGGACTCGGCATCCCTATTGACCTCGGGGCGAGGATGTGCGGGCTCCTCAAGAGGATCGAGGGTCGCGCCCGGGCAGCATGGGACAGCCCACTTCTGGGCATTGAGCTGGCCGGGGTTCCGCTGCGGGCGGCCCTCGCTTGCCTGCGCGGGCGCGTCCAGCCGCGCGCGTGCCAAGGGACAGCCTGGCTCCTCGTGCGCGGCGACTGGGAGGCCAGGCTTGACGCTGTGTTCGACGGGTGGGTGCCCAGGCTGCTCGAGCTCTCTCCAGTCCCCCCCGCCTGGATCCCATTCGCGAGCTGGGCAGCCCCTGGAGGCTCAACGCGCGCCCGCTCCGTGACGCACTGGCGCTCCAGGCGCGAAGCGAGGCATTGTCGGCGGATGGCGAATCGAGGCGGGTGCCCGACGTCGCTGCCGAGTGCGGCAGCTCGTGGGCGGCGGCTGCCCGCCGCCGTGCGGCGGCCCTCCAGGTCCGCGGGCTGCGGAAGCGGGCATCTGCTTCGCCCCCTGTGCAACGGGAGGCTTCGCCAAGCCAGCCCGGAAGCGGCCGGGCAGGAGGTGCCTTGTGGAGGAGGTCGAACCCATGCTTCCACGCTCGAGGGGTCCAGTGGCCGGCGCGCGAGCGTGCCAAGTCCGCTCAGAGGGGTGCGCCTGTCACTATCAGTGCGGCGGCGCACTCCCTCGTGTGCTGGGCAGTGCGGCCTTGGGCACAGCTCCGTCTACAAGGGCGGTTCTCGGTCACCGTCGGCCAGGCCGCGTTGAGGTGCAGACGGTGCTTGCAGGACTGCGATGCTGACGGTGCGCGCTTGCGGAGGCCGCGGCGGCGGACGCGACTGCCGGCACGCCACGGGAGGGCATGCGGGCCGCGGAGGTCTGGCGGCTCTTCCCGGCAGACGCAGACGTCGCAGCGGAGGTCACTGTGGCGAGGGGGCCAGCTCTGGTGCGCGGCCCGGGCGCGTGAGGCAGCTGGAGCGAAGGGGGTGTCCCGGCGGCCACCGCTGCGGCCCCCCGGCTTGCAGCGCAGATCCGCCGCCCCAGGGGGCCCCGTTTCCCGCGTCGCCCCGCTTGCCGAGACCGTGGCACGCCTGGGCCCCCAGGGGCAACTGCCGAAGAGCGGCTCCGAACGACAACAGAGCAGCTTTTTGTTGGCCATGCGAGCTTGGTTTCGCCCTGGGCGCGACGGGGCGCGCGTTGGCCAGGGCCCCCCCGCGTCCCAAGCGAGTGAGGTCTCCCCGTCGGTCCGTCCCCGTCCCCCTGCCTGCTGCTGCCGCCTCCTCTTCCTCTCTCCCCCCCCCTCTTGGCTTCCCGCCGCCGCCGCCGCTACCGCCGCCGCGTGCGCCGTCGTCGCAGTGGCCGTCGTCGTCTCCGCCGCCGTCGTCGCCTTGTCGTCGTCGTCGCCGCCGCCGCCGCCGTCGTTGTCGTCGTCGTCGTCGTCGTCGTCCTCATCGTCGTCGTCGTCGTCTTCGTCGTCGTCGTCTTCGTCGTCGTCGTCGTCTTCGTCGTCGTCGCCGCCGTCGCCTTCGAACAGGCCGCGGGGTTTCGCTGAGCCGTTGGCAGACCATTGGAATAGGAGTAAAATATTTATTAACATATATATATATATATATATATGTTTACATACATATAGATATGAATGTAATATATTTTTTGTTCAGCTTCGTCCAGTCTGTCGGAGGGGGCCTGTGAGGGTCTTTTGACCTGAGGCGGAACGCTGGCGAAAGAGAGGAGGAGCGAGGAGGAGGAGGAGAAGGAGGAGGAGGAGGAAGAGCAAGGAGGAGGAGGAGGAGGAGGAGGAGCAAGGAGGAGGAGGAGGAGGAGGAGGAGGAGGAGCTGCGAACTGCGAGCTATCCGACGTAGTCGTTTGAGTAAAGGACACTCATTGCTGTGCCGCTCAGTACTGCAAGAAGCATAGGCCACGAGAGTTGCAATCGCTGGGCTAACGCTGAAGCCTGCGGGTCACGCGGATGCCGCAGATGAGTCCCTCCAACCCACGAAATGTGCGTTGTTCACTCCTTCAGCACCAAGCGAAAGCAACATTCTGGAACAAAAACCCAATCCACCAAGCAGAACAAAGCGTATGAGCAACACCGCGAAGTCGAGGTGATACACCGTAGCTACCAAGCAGCTGCGCCGTCATGCAACCCACCCATTTGACACCACGGAGTAGACTGGGGACCACCGTGGCACTGTGCACGATGATCTGGAAAACTGTGAACCAATTGGCCAAAGCACGCATGACCACAGTGCCGTAGCATAACACGTATGATCCAATCCCATGTTATCAACCATCCACTGATGCGCGGCTCAGACTACGGACGGCCGGCACGTCCCCATCCAAGCAAAAGGTGAACGGCGGAATACAACGGCCACCAACAACGCACGGCTCAGAATACGGACGGTTGGCACGTCCCCATCCCACGAACCAAGAGGGCGCCTGCACTAACAGCAAAAGATTGAAATACGAATTGAAATGCTGCAGCCACTGTTCTTTGCCACCGCTGGCCCATGACAGCAATGAAACTGATAACACGCTGACGGGCCGCGTCTTGCTCCCACCTGCCTGCCTGCTGCCACCAAGCGTTCTTCTCGCACGTACTGGCCCGAGCATTATAGTTGATGTAGTCGGCTTCACGCCTACCCATCTGCCTCTGCAGCGAGAAACCGCTGCCTCTGATTGCCCTTCTCGCACGTGCTGAAGAAAGCGTTGCAGCTGATGACGGTCAGCACACACTTCGGCTCCGACACCGTTCATCCGCGTCTGAGCACCCCAACTCTGCACACCATACTCGCATGCGCCGAGTCCAGTACTGTAGGAGAGGATGACAGAATCCGATGCTCAAAGAAAGCGTACCAACAACAGGAGGCAAGAGCAAAATGAACAAAACAAAAATCATTCAGACAAACCAAACGTATCTCTGCACCTCGATTTGGCCCCAACCCGATCGACTGCGCACAAGGCCCAGGTGACGAGTTGCGAGTTGCCACTCAAGCGCCACGTTGAGGCATCGAGGTGCGGCTCATGTCCCAGCGATAAGACAGAAGGGGCCTACGGAAGGGACGGAGCCGCATGTGTTTGAGAAGGAGGAGGAGGAGGAGGAACAAAAGGAGGGAGGGAGGAGAAGGAGACGGAGGGAGGAGGGGGAGAAGGAGACGGAGGGAGGAGAGGGTGGATTTCATTGTGGAGGAGGGGGTTGCCGAGCGTGCGAGCTGCGAAGGGGCTCATGCCCGCTGCTCATTCGACTGATTGATGAAACCGAGGTCCTTGAAATCCCAGCGCTCTGGAGGAGGGGCTTGAGAAGGGTGCTGCTGCTGCTCATATAATGGCGATGGAGATGATGCTGATGATATTGATGATGACGATGCGGAGGATGAGGATTAAGATGATGGTGACGATGCTGATGCCAGCACTGATAGTATTCATGAGGTTGGTGATGATGGTGGTAATGATGCTGATGATGATCATGATGATGGTACATATGATGATGATGGTGATGATCATGACGATGATGATGATGATGTTGATGGTGGTGATGATGATGATGATTATGATGGTGATTGTGATGATGCTGATGAGTGTGGTGGTGATGATGATGGTGCTGACGGCGATGATGACGATGATGGTGATGATGCTGAGGACTACGACGACGATGATAACGATGATGATGATGCTCCTGATGATGATGATGACGCGGATGATTATGATGATGATGATTATGATGATGATGATGATGATGATGATGATGATGATGCTGTCGACGACGACGATGGAGACGCAGATGATGACGATGATGGTGATGATGATGCTGTTGCTGACGATGGTGATTCCGACGACGACGATGATGATGCTGCTGGTGATGACGATGATGCGGATGATGGTGATGATGGTGATGATTATGACGGTAGTGATGAT